GAGCAACTGATGTTTTTCCAATTATTTAAATCTGATTTTATTTGCATGAAAAGTGTTTTGTTTGTGTTCATAGACCATGAAGCAATTTTTAGAAGTGCATAGTAAAGAACAGAAGGTAGTTCAGAAGACAATACAGATAAACAGACCAGCTCTGAAACTTACATGTTGAATTTACCATATACCTTTTGTTTTAAAGCTATACGTAAAAGAGATTCATGGTTTCATATATAATCCCTTTTTTCTGTTCTTCTTATATGTAAATGTTCTTTTATTTTGGTATTTTTCGTGCCTTCAATTCAAGAAGATAACATTTTACTGTTTTGGCATTTCTAGTTATATCATCATATTATCTACAAGTAGACATTTTCCAATTCATTGGCAATACCATAAAGGAATTTTTAAAGTTTTGTTGTGATGTCTTTTTGTAAAATACTTAGTTTGGTGTATTGACAACCAACCCACCCCCAAGTTAATGGAGGTAATAAAGGACTTTAGCAAAGTAGCGGGATGTAAAATAAATAGAAAAAATTATCAGTATTTCTCTCTGTCCCTATCAGTAATCAAATGAAACTGATACAAAGAGAAATGCCCAATATGGTGATTTTTAAAATATAAGAAATTTGGAGGCATTTACTTATATGATGGCCTTATCAAAAGATGCCATAGCTAGGTGGCGCAGTGGATAGAGCATCGGCCTTGAAGTCAGGAGGACCTGAGTTCAAATCTAGCCTCAGACCAAACACTTGACACTTACTAGCTGTGTGACCCTGGGCAAGTCACTTAACCCCAATTGCCTTAAAAAAAAGACATATACAAAGAAAACTTCAAAATTATTTTGACAAGAGACAAGGAAGAACATGTGGGAGGGGAGAAAGGGATAGCCTTTGCTTGTTAGATTGAGTAAATATAGTAAAAATGTCAACATTTCCCAAACTAATTTATAGATTTAATGTGATATCAAAAAGACACTTAACATTCTGATTTTTTAAAAGCTAAAACAACAATTTGGACCACCCATCATAAATAGTTCCAAAGAACTTCTCTTGCCTGCTAGAAAAGTACATAAGTGTTAAAAATTGATATATCTAAGGATCATAATATTGGTTTAATGTTAAGTCGATTTAAAAATGCCTAGTTAAGATTAAAACCCACATTCATGCTACTTAAAGCCATGGAAAAGTTTTAATAATAATAACATTTTTAAAGTGCTTACTATGTTCCAGGCACTGTGCTATGTGCTTTATAATAATTATTTCATTTGATCCTCACAATAACCCTGGGAAGTAGGTGCTATTATTATCCCCATTTTTGAAATGAGGAAACCCAAGCAAATAGAGGTGAAGTGACTTGCCCAGGATCACACAGCTAGTATCTAAGGCTGGATTTGACCATAGATCTTTCTGACTGCAAGCCTAGCAGTTTACTACTGTGCCATCTAGCTGCCCCAAGCATTTTATAAGACAAATGGGAGAAAAAATATTGAAAGCAACAGTCAAGATTTGAATTTTCAAAAAGAGGACCAAAATTTCCTTCTCTCCAAGTTTTTTACACCTAAATTTGCTGTCAGGTACCAAGGAGAATAAGTCTTATCTCCTTTCTACTTGACAGCACTTTATATAGAGCTAGGTCCCAAATGGTGAGAATAATGAATCCCCTGAAGTGTTCACCTCATTAACTCCCATGGGTTCAGTTACCATCTCTATGGAGATTACTGCCATATCTATATATCCAGCCACAATCTTTGTCTTAAACTGCAGTCTCAAATCATCAACTGCTTCCTGGACATTTCAAATTGAATATCTCATAAGCATCTCAAACTCAACATGTTCAAAATAGAATTTGTTATTTTTGCTGATAGACTCCTCTTTCAAACTTCCTATTTCTGTTGAGGGTACCATCATCCTCATAACCTCATTATCATACTCAATTGTTCACTTTCTGTCATCCCATGTATGTGCTCAATGGCCAAATCTTTTCATTTCTATCTCCAAAACAGCTCTCATCTACCTCTTCTGTTGTAAACCAGACCTCACTCAGACCAATCTGGTTCACATTGGGCAGTGGAATCAAATGAGATGCTGGTAGATTATCTCACAATTTAACGAAAGAAAGAAAGAAAGAAAGAGAGAGAGAGAGAGACAGAGACAGAGAGAGAGAGAGAGAGAGAGAGAGAGAAAGAAAGAAAGAAAGAAAGAAAGAAAGAAAAAAGAAAGAAAAGAAAAGAAACAGTCAAAATATGGAAAAGATACACCAATTTAGTCAAGTTTAACATTCCTGCCTCCATGTTGGCCACCCTGGTTCTCTGTTCAGAAATAAGCATTTTGGCCTGACAAAGTCCCTTGAATTCTGGCTTTCTACTTAGGTCATCACGAAGCTGTGTCTTACACATTTTTCTCCAGAGATGTGGGGATGGGGGTGTAATGAGCCAAAGGAGTCTGACCCTTCTTTTAGGTGGTCAAACTCCGCAGTACTTAACCTGGTTAAGAATTAACGTATGGGTCCAGAGTATATGAGCCCCTTAGTAGAGAAAGAAAGAGTTCAGTGCTTCAGTCTTTTGGGCTCAGTTTGAGGTTTTAATTTTAAGACTAGGATCTTAGATTTGAGGCTGGAAGGGACCTTAGAGACCATCTAGTTGAGCCTCTTAATTTTATAGATGAATAACTGAGGCCCAGAGAGATTAAGCAATTTCCCAAGATCACTTGGGTAAATAATAGAATTCAAACCCAGATTCTCTGATTTCAAGTCCAGGGATCTTTCCAAAAGTTTAACTAGAAATAAGTTTTTTTTTCCTGTATGTATTGTTGTTTTACGCTTAAGATAGCAAAAAACCCCACTAAATAACTGTGATTCGTGTTTTCTTGTTCCTTGGGTCCTCTTGGGTTATGGGGAAGAGATTGTTGGCCCATTTTTCTATAAACAGAAATTCAAGTTCTTAAAAAAAAGTTTAGTCTGATGTTTTGCAACCAGGCAGCACAAACACAACGTATGCTATGACAAAAAGATCCTGCATGGAATCAAAGCTATTTGGTAGTATTTATGCAGAGTTACAACACAGCAGTTGACCTATATAAAGGACTTAGTGAACACTGCCTCTCATCTTGGAAGAGGAAGTGATTTGCTCAATGCCTGGTGGTGATTCAGTGAGGAAGTTGAGTGCACAAATGTTGATGCTCATCCCAAATATACTACTTACTGGACTTAGGTCCTAACTGAGAAAGAGGAGCTACTCAGAATTGACATTAATCCATTTATAGCATGTCTTTTTTTTTTCTAGCTGCTGAAGGTCTGTGTCCTAGTACAATACTTTGATCTTTAAGCTGCCAAGGATACAGTCTTAGACTTGACAACCTTACTAAAGAATAAATGCTAACCTGTTTTAAATACATGCAGTTGCTTACCAAATACTTCTTATACCAGTGAAATCACAAGTGGAATCCTAGTCCACAGTAAAGGATTCAGCTGTCTCCTGATTGACCTTTTCCTTCTTTTGCATCCCCTTGGTACAAATGATCTATTTCAATTAGTTCTCCAACTTAATCTCAATCTGGAAGTGGTTTGGATAGTAAGAGGAAGTTTAAGATGAGTTTGTGTGAACATTTCCATTCCCAGATGCTTATAAAGTCTGCCATTTGAGGTCTCTAACCATTTCTCTTATCACCAAAAAATCACTTATAAGTAATTTTTAATCTCAAGAACCCGGAAATATCCTTGTAATTTTTCATTTTGTCAAGTGGCTAGAATCTTAGATTAGCTATCAAGAACCTTGGGTTCTATTTCTGGTAATTGACTTGATTTGCAAATGTAGCTTCCCCTTCAAGGTTATTTTCCCACTGGCTTTGGTGGGCTGGAGACCCAGAGGGCAGCTAACAACTTCTCCCCTCAAAATTCTAGGGGTAACTAGCAAGGGATAGGATGATTACTCTAGTTCTGCTGCTCATGAACTCCCATCTAGTATGTTCCCCACTGCTTATCAATTTGACAGCTGTAGTTAACCAGCTTTTAGAAAGGGCTATTTACTGAGATGCTATAGTAAGAAATGAAGTATAAAACATCTTTCAAATTAAGGTCATTCTCTCCTTTCTGTATACCCTCAGTCCCCACAGAGAGTGGGTTCAAGCTTAATGAGCATGTGACAAAGGGACAATTATAGATCCTGGTTTCTTTGTGGAAACTTCATGATTCTTGTAGTATGTTTAGCTTTCTGATGGGCTCTAAATGTTGGTGTCCTCATACAATCCTGAAGTTGCCTTTCTTTTGTGTATCTAATTTGTCTCTGACATATCTTGAGAGATGATATAGATACTACTGTCAACCTCTGCTATTCTGGGAGAGACTGCTAAGAATCATTATGAGAAGTCGAAATTGTCCAACCTTTTGAATTTCACAAGGTTGTTGTTTGGTCAGTGGGAGAGAGAGAGACAGACAGACAGACAGACAGACAGGGAGAGGGAGAGGGGGGAAGAGAGAGAGACAGAGACAAAGAGAGAGGAGAGAATTTTTTATTTACTCCCCCAACTTTGTCACAAGGTTATGCCTTTTTAAGGCACTTTCAAAACTTAACCAACCCCTGCTCAAATCCCTTCTCTAACATTTATAGGCTCAAATGCATGTCTAATTCTCTCAACCAGTCCCAGTACATTTTGTATTATTTTATCTAATGACTGGAAGTACTTCATTCCTCTCAAATTGGTTAAGGACTTCTTTGACTGATTGGTTCAATAGAGTTTTCTAGGAGTTTTTGATACTTAGTTTATACTTTTGATTGGTTGATTCTGTAATTCAGACTTGCTCTTACCAGATAAAAGTATTAAAGTATTAAAAGTATAAAAAATATTATATAAATAATAGTATTTTACATAAATAATAAATAAAAGTATAAAAAGTATTAAAGCATAGAGCATTTTATTATTTATATTAGTTGGGTTTGTGGGATATGATATAGAAAAAATTATTAAGTAGCTACTATGTGTCAGGTACTATGCTAAACACTTTACAAATATTATTTCATTTGAACCTCACAACAGTCTCAGGTAAGTGCTATTATTGTTCCTATTTTACAGTTGAGGAAATGGAGTTCAGACAGAGGTCAAGTGACTTACCTAGGGTCACACAGTTAGTATATATCTGAGGTCAAATTTGACTCCTGATTCCCAATCCAGTGCTTTTTCTATTATCCATGTTGCTTCCCTTCAATATATCACTGGTGGTGGGAATTATAATTTAGTTAGCCAAATTATCTGATTGCATATTATTGACATTTTTGCATAACACCACACACAGAGATACCATGATCTTATTTCAGTTGGAGAATAGACACCAACTTTTTAAAAAACATTTAAATGTTTTATTACACATTCTCTCACTACAACCAACTAAACTTATTTAACAACTCTTTACTTTTAAATTAACTAATTTCAAAGTTTAAGGTATCATAAGCTTCTCAATCATTCCCTCTAATTTATAGGATTATAGCCTTCGACCTGGGAGGGACATTAGAGGTCTTCTAGTTCACTCCCTCACTTTTACAGATGAGGAAACAAATAGAAAGTGAGGATAGATAACTTGTCCAAGGTCAAACTGATAAAACAAGTGATAAAGGATTTTAAACTAGGCTGTCCTGTGCCACATCCAGTGCTCTTTATACCTCACTATCTCACATCTCATCAGGCAGCACTGAAGTCAATGCTTGCTTGCTCCATTGATTAATTGACTCATCTTACTCACTTTCCCTCTTATATGGTCCATTCTTTTGATTCTACTTTTTTTGGCCTTATATTGTTTCAAAGAAGTCTTTCCAAATTTCTGTGTATTCCTCATACTTGTCCACCTTACACTCCATTATATTAATAGGGGTAAGGATAGGAATAGGAACAGGATCTGGACCTGTGATTTCATTAACATAGAGAGTGCTCAGTGAGAAACTTCATTCCTTTACCAATATAGGCCAGCACCTTCTTTGAAACTTAGAGAAAATTGCCTAGAGCACTGTGGGATTGGTTACTTCACCTGCTGTGGGTCGCACAGCTAATTTATATCAGACGCAGGACTAGAATTCAGGTCTTCCTAGA